TTTAATTTCTATTTCCTTAATTATTAATGATGTTGATCCTTTTATAATTCCTCTTCTACGGGACATCCATATAGGTCTTTTGCCTAGTTTGTATTGTTTTTAAAAATCTTTAAAAAATTGATTTCTAGAAGGTTCTTTATATGTATATTCTTTATATATATACTAGAGGCCCGATGCATGAAATTTGTGCAAGAATAGGCTTTCCTTCCCCTGGCTGCCAGCACCACCTTCCCTCTGGCATCTGGGACCTGGGCTTCCCTCCCAGCCCGGGCTTTGTCCTGTCTAATTAGCATATTATGCCTTTATTATTATAGATTCTGGGTACTAATCCTTGTCAGTTATACATGTGGCAAATACCTTTTTCCTGGTAAATAACCTGTCTTCCTACTTTCTTTATAGTGGTTTTTGATGGACATATTCAATAGTTTAATGCAGTTGAATATGTCATCTTTGTCCTTATGGTTAGTGCTTTTGGCATCTTGTTTAACACATCTTTTCCTTCTCTGAGGTCATAAAGATATAGTCTGATACTTTCTTCTAAAAGCTTTAAAATGTTGCTGTTCATATTTATGTCCTTAATCGTGTGCACTTGATTTTTGTATGATGTGAAGTGGGAGAATCTAGTTGATTTATTTTTTATTTTTTGCCATATGGCTAATCTTTTGACCAGTATTTTTAAATTGAATATTCTGCTTTTCCTTTTATTGATCTGTGTCCTATGTCAAGTTTCCATATGTGTGTATGTTTCTGCTGTTTTTTTTCCCCTTAGGTTTCTTTGTGTATCTTTGCTGCAATCTTATTTACTTTAGTTTTATAAAGAGCCTCACTGCCTAGGAGAACAAATCACCCACCCAGGCTTCTTTTAAAACTTTTTATTGTAGTATGATGTGTTATTTAAGTGTTAAGTATCTCCACAGTAATCCCTCAACCTCACAAGTAATACTGAAGTTAGACTATCAGACTGTCTTTAGTTTTTGCAAATCCTGTCCAAACTCATTAAAGTTAACTTTTAACTTGAAAAGCAAATACAGGATTTTTACTTGGGGGGATATATTTAAGATATTTGGGAAAACGTTCTTACTGGAAATAGCCAAGAATGCTGTATTTTTTTAAAAAAATTAAATGGTAGTTAGGAATTGATATGTCAAAATCTAAGAGAAAGCTGAAACTCTGAGAGACTTAAGAGGGTGTTTGCTGAACTGGGCGGGGAGAGAGGTGGATAGAGGGGGACTTGATTGGCTTTGAGTAAGAACTTGGTGGATTTGCAGGATGGGAGGCTTACTTAGAAGCCAGCACAGGGCTCAGTCAAGGTTCGCTAACCAGAGACTGTCTGCCCATAATTCTGGGATCCCAAATGTCAGTGCTATCATGTAAAGGATGAAAACTCACCTCCTTCAAGGATCTGCAGTGAAAGTTGCCTTGATGCCCAGTAAATCAGAGGGGTAAGAAGCCCGTCCTTAGGAAATGCACCCACCAGACCATGGGAGAAATTTGCCTCTCAGTGGTGGTCATAAACAATGTCAAAATGTGAATTTTTAAAATTCATGTTTTGGGGAGATATAATGCCCATACCATAAAATTCAGGCCAGAAAAGTGTACAATTTAGTGGGTTTTCTACCCACAAAGTTGTGCAACCATCATCACTATCTAATTGCAAAACATTTTCATCACCGTGGTAAGAAACCATGTACCCATTAGCAGTCACTCATTGCTTCCCTTCCCCCAAGCCCCAGGCAGTCACGAATCTACATCCTGTCTCTGGATTTGCTTATTCTGGGCATCTCTTATGAATGAAATCATACAATATGTGGTCATTGTTTTTTGCTTTGTTCACTTAGTGCAATGTTTTTGAGGTTTATTCATGTTGTAGCATGAATCTGTACTGTATTCCTTTTTATACCTGAATAATATTCCATTGTATAAATATACTACATTTTGTTTTTCTACTCATTAATAATGGACAGTTGGGTTGTATCTACTTTTTGGCTCTTATGAGTAATGTGTTATGAACATTACTCATACTGTGTGGAAATAAATTTTTCAATCTCATAGGTATATTTAGGAGTGGAATTCCTGGGTCATATGGTAACTCTGTGTTTAAGTTTTAGAGGCACTACCAAACTGTTTTTCTTTTATTAATTACTTAAAATTTCCACTTAATTTTATTTCAAACCTTGAATTTCTTCCAATTCCTCAAAATTGCTTTTTTCCTTTTAATTGAATTTATTGGGGTTTGGGGTGACACTGGTTAACAAAAGTATACAAGTTTCAGGTGCACAATTCTACAGCACTTCATCTGTACACTGTATTGTGTGTTCAGTACTCCAAGTCAAGTCTCCATCCGTCACCAGCTACCAAATTGTTTTTCCAGAGCAGCTGCACCATTTTTCATTCCCACCAATGACGTATGAGGCTTCCAGTTTCCGCACACCCTTGCCAGCTCTGTATCTGTCCTTTTCACTAGATCCATCCTAGTGTGTGTCAAGTGATACCTCATTGTGTTTCTGGTTTGCATTTCCCTAGTGACTAATAATGTTGAGACCTTCTCATGTGTTTATTGGCCATTTGTCCATCTTCTTTGAAGAAATGTCTATTCACATCCTTTGCCCATTTAAAAATTGGGTTATTGGTGAAAGCATGAAGTTAAAATCACCTGTAAGCAAATGCAAATTTTCTCTAGGAGTATACTGTCATCTTTGATTTAAAGTTTTGAAGTCAGTGAATAATTTATTGCAAAGATAACCCAAGGACACAAGGACATAAGACAACCTGAGCAAGAATCAGCAGAAACAATAGGCAATTAGAAGTAAACTTATAAAAGTCTTATGTATTGGAATTACCAGTCACAGATTATGAAAGCAACTACAATGGGCTATTTTACATATATAACAGACAAGTTTAAAAAATAGATGCAGGGAACAGAAGGCTTAAAAGTGACAGAGATACAGAGCTGATTAAAAAAGAACAGTGTAATTGCTATTCATGAAAAATGCAGTAATAAAAAAAATCAAAATTCATTTATTGAGTTTAACCACTGATTAGGCAATTAGGCAAACCCCAAGAATCAGTGAACTAGAATATAGGTCAGAATAAATCATTCAGAATTCAGCTCAAAAAGACAAATGGAAAAGAGAAAAATTAAGAGGCATGGAAATTAGAATGATCAGAATGAGAAATTATAATGAGAAAGTCTAATCAATTGAGAATAGGCAAAGCAATATTTAAAAAGAGAATGAAGATTTTTAGTTTTGGAAAATCTACTATTACTGGTGGAAAGACATCAATCCACAGATGGGTTATTCCCTGATTGCAGAGTAGTATTTCATTGTATAGATTTTATATAATGTGTTTACTCACCTGATGATGGAGATGGGATAGCTTTTTACTATTTCAAATAGAGCTGCTATGAACAGCAGTGTACACGTCTTTATGTGGATATATGATTTCTTTTTCCTTGAGTATATTTACTCAAGGAATTGAATGTCTAGATCATATGGTAGATGTATGTTTAAGTTAAGAAACTGTCAAACCGTTTTATATTGCCAAGATTTGAATATGAGAGTTCTACTTGTTCTGCACACTTGCAAGCACTTGAATGGCTAGACTTTGCAATTTTGTCCTTTTTAATAAGTGTATAGTATTATCTCATTGTAGTTTTAATTTGCATTTTCCTAATGACTAAGAATGTTGAACATACTTTCATGTGCTATTTTGTCCAGTTGTATATCTCTTTGGAGAAGTGTCTACTCAAATTCTTCGCCTATTTTAAAATTGTGATGTTTTTCTTTTGTCATTGAGTTGTAATAGGCCTTTATATATTCTGGATATAAGCTCGTTCTTGGGTTTATGATTTGCAAATATTTTCTCCCAGTCTCTGAGTTGCTTTTCACTTTCTTGATGGTGTCATTTGATGCACAAAGTTGTAAATTTTGATTATATTTAATATATCAAAAAATTTTTTTATTGAGGTGCTTTTGGGGTCATATCTAAGAAATCAGTGCCTAATCCATGTTACAAAGAACTAATTACTTCTGTGTTTTCTTCTTGGAGTTTCGTGATTTTAGGTCATATATACAGGCGATGAGTTTTGAGCTAATTTTTATGTACAGTATGTGGTAGTCATCCAGCTTCTTTACTTTTTGTTGTTGTTTGCATGTGGAATATCCAGGTGTCCCAGCACCATCTGTTGTAAAGACTATTCTTTTTAAAATTTCTTGGCACCTTGTTAAAAATTGATTGGCCATAAACATACGGGCTTATTTTTAGGCTCTCGTTTTTATTTCATTGACCCATATGTCTTCCTTATGCCAATATCACAGCCTTACTTATTTTAGCTTTGTAGTAAATTTTGAGAAATATATTTTTCAACGTTGTTCTTGTTTTTCAAGATTTTACTCTGTGTCTTTGGCATTTCCATATGAATTTTAGGATCTCTTTCTAGAAAGAAGCTGAAAGGGATCGTGTTAAATCTGTAGAAAATTCAGGGAGTGTTGCCGTCTTAATGATATTATACCTTCCAACCCATGAACATGGGATATCTTTTCATTTATTGAAGGCTTCTTTCCTATCTTTTGATGATATTTTATAGTTTTCAGAGTGCAAGTTTTTCACTTCTCTTTTGAAGGTATTCCTAAATATTTTAGGGTTTGTTTTAGATGTTTTTATGAATGGAATAGATTTCTTAATTTCAGTTTTAGATTGTTCATTTTTAGTATATAGAAATACAGGTTGGGACCAAAATAGGTTTACAGTTCAAATGGGAAATAACACAATAAATAATAATACAAGAATAAACTCTATTTCACATACTTACAACTGTAAGCCTACTTTTGCCTCACCTTGTACAATTAATTTTTGTATGTCAATCTTATGCTTTGAACACTGCATGCAACTTGTTTGATGCAATAAACTACTAGTTTTTAGTGGATTCCTTTGCTCTTTTTATTTGCAAGGTCAAATTCGTCTTTAAATAAAGAATTTTATTTCTTCATTTCCAGGATGTATGCCCTTTATAGCTTTCTAGCCTAATTGTGCTGGCTGGAATCCACAGGACAGCGTTGAACGGGAGTTGGTGAATAGACATCCTTGTCTTTTGCCTGGGCTTGGAGGGAGAGCATTCAGTCTTTCAGCAACTACATGGATGCTCTGTATCTTGTTGAGACGATTCTCCTGTTCCTTCTTTGATCAGGTTTCTTTCTTTAAGCATGAAAGAGTATTGGAATTTTCAGGGTTATTTTTAATCTATTGAGATGATCATGTAGTTTTTGTTGATTATTTTATTACTAGAGGCCCGGTGCACTAAAATTTGTGCACTTGGGGGAAGGGGGGGGGTCCCTCAGCCCGGCCTGTGCCCTCTCGCAGTCTGGGACCC